CTGCTTCATTGCATTAAATACATCATGCCACTCCCTTCTGGCCTGTAAGGTTTCTGCTGAGAAGTCTGTTGTTAGTGTGATGGGCTTTCCTTTGTATGTGATCTTATTTCTGCCTCTGGCTGCTTTTAACAGTCTGTCCTTATCCTTGATCTTTCCCATTTTAATTACTATGTGTCTTGGTGTTGTCTTCCTTGGGTTCCTTGTGTAGGGGGATCTGTGGATCTCCATGGTCTGAGAGACTATCTCCTTCCCCAGATTGGGGAAGTTTTCAGCAACTACTTCCTCAAAGACACTTTCTATCACTTTTTATCTCTCTTCTTCTGGTATCCCTATAATGTGAATATTATTCCGCTTGGATTGGTCACACAGTTCTCTCAATATTCTTTCATTTTTAGAGATCCTTTTTTCTCTCTGTGCCTCAGCTTCTTTGTATTCCTCTTCTATAGTTTCTATTTCACTTATTGTCTCCTCCACTGTATCCAACCTGCTTTTAATACCCTCCATCATGTTCTTTAAAGACTGGATCTCTGACCTGAATCCATTCCTGAGTTCTTGGATGTCTTTCCATACCTCCATTAGGATGTTGATTATTTTTATTTTGAACTCCCTTTCAGGAAGAGTCATGAGGTCCATATCATTCAAATCTTTCTCGGGAATTGTATTAACAATTTTACTCTGGACAAGGTTCCTTTGGCATTTCATGTTTGTATATGGTGCCCTCTAGTGCCCAGAAGCTCTATTCTGGAGCTGCTGAGCCCCTGAAGCAATGTCAGAGCTTGCAGGGGAGCAGTACTGGGGGTAGGGAAGAGCTGTTCCCCCTCCTCCTGGCTCCTGTGCCTGTCTCCACTGCCTGAGCCAGTGGGCCAGGCACACAGGTATAAGTTTTTGTCCCAGAGCAGCCAGATATGGATCCCTGCTTTCCACAAGCAGCCGGAATCCCAGTCTCCCCAGGAACTGCCTGTATTAACTTTCCAACCTGGTAATCATGCGAGTCTCATGAAAGCACCATGAAATGTAGGTTTGTGCTCCCAGCGCAGATCTCTGGCGCTAGGGTCCCAAGCCTTCCACTCCCTCCCTGCTCCGTTTCTCTTCCTCCCACTGGTGAGCTGGGGTGGGAGAGGGGCTCGGGTCCCCGCGGAGACACAGCTCTGGTACATTACCCCGTTCGCTGAGGTCTGCTCTTTTCTCCAGGTGTGTGCAGTCTGACACGTCCTCTTCCCTGTTGATCTCTCAGGATTAGTTGCACTCCTCTCATGCCACCATCTTTAATCAATACACTGTTTTTATTCAAAGCTTTTGATCCCCACCTCCAGTTCCCCTCAACCTCCACGCTATCTGCTCATGATAATTTGGTCACATTTTAGATAAACATTATTGAACAGGTTATTTAAAACTTTCCTGATGTTTAAACACATTTTGTCAAGTGTAAACCATATTTCTGATTCTAAATACATTTTGTCAAAAACAAACCTGTGTACATATTATTCTAGCTGTGGTTTTGTTTTGTTTTGTTTTGTTTTAAGATGGAGTTGAAAGTAGGAGAAAGAACCCCACTTAAATCTAAAGGTCTTAAAATACCTACAGTCTCAGAAGAATTCTTAAAGGGAAAATAAATTTGTAAGGCTAAAACTTGAGTAGATGAGAATAAGTGAGATTTGTGAAGGCCATTCCCTTGAAGATGTGTCTGCAGTGAAGCAGAGAAAAGGCAATGCCCTAGGCATGGTTTAGGTAATAGGAAGGTCATACAAGAGGGGATGCTACACAGACACCCAATAGCTCCCTGCACTGTAGCACCTGACCCACACACGGCATACATCAAGGGGTAGGGACAGCCTGGTGGAGCAGATGCACTGGTAGGTAGGCTCTACTCAAAGGGCAGCCCCATCTTCACTGTGTGACACTGCAAGTCACTGAACCTCTTGAAACCTCAGTCTCCTTACCTGTGAAATGAATATAATTTTGCTCAATTCAAGGGGTTGTTATGAGGATTAAATGGCATATCGATCTATAATGATTAGCACAGTGACAGATAGTAAATTCTCAGTAAGTGGACATTACTATCATTATCATTGTCATTGTGTGCTGGCCACAATCTGTCCACCCTTTGAAAGGAGACGATCTTGTCATGGTTGCTCTGCCACACATGGCTGTCTGCTGTGGCCCTCTCCCATCCCTTTTTCTCTAAGATTGACTATTTTGAGGTCAAAGGGATGAAACTTCGATTTAATGCTTTCTGGTAACCACTGATCAAAAAACAAACCTAGAGGAACCAACCAGTCTCATACCACAGTACCACATGACTGTCGTATAGCATGGGTCTGTGGACAACACAAAGCATCTTTTTGTCTTATGACCTAAGGCATATAACCAACTGATCTGATTGGTTAAAAACACTCCCTTATTTAACTGGAGGAGTCTCCTTGAAACAAGCTTTCCATCCATTTCTATTTATTTATAACACTGCACATATAGCCTCTATTCCACTCCCCACTTGGGGGTAGGAACCTTGAAGAGGGACAATCGTGCTGATAAGAGAGTTGAGTGTAAGAGCTGGCACCTCAAGAAGGATACTGCTTCACTCTGCGTTCTTGCCCTCTGGATGTTAGCTCTTCTCTCTGATCTTGTACCTTGTTCTTTCCTCCCCTCGTCATGTTTTCCTAGATAATGACAGCAGTGATTCGGAACTCCCGTCCATCACATTGAAGGCGCACTGTCAAACAAGGTCACCTCAAGAAAGACAACTGGTACAAGAAATAATTCCAATGAGGAATTTACACAGAGGAAGGAAGCCATCAAACATCAGTTATCAAAGAAATGTGAGCCAAGAAGAGCATATTGCAGGAGGCAGAAGGGTGGCTGTAAGGCCCGAACCGCTGTTTCATGCAGTAGATGAGGAATATGAATCTGGGCGGGAGAGTGAAGAAGAGGCCTCAGCAGATGGGGCCAGACGGTCGGCTGAGCACAGACCCCACAGGGACCACCACAGGTCCCACAGTCCTTTGCTCCGAAGAAAATAATTTTGCTGTCCACAAGATTGTTTCCATGTGTTGTAAGAGTCCATCTTCTGATTATTGTGAAAGAAGGATTTTCAGAGTTCTGAAGATAGCTATTGAGTTTACTCTTATGCAAGCTGCATCTGCAAGAGGCAGGGAGATTTTGTTTGGATGACTGGGGACAAACTTGCAGGCTCTGCCACATTCTTAGCTGGTGTACTTTGTAGATGAATTCCATGGGAGTGATAAATGTTAATCATCCCAGGAATTATTCACTAAGGATTCTTAAGAGTGTGTGATCCACATAATGTATTGAGAAACAAGCATGACTGGTCAGTAATTTACCTTGATTATATGCATGTGCCACTTATAATCAAGTTGTAACTTAAGAGGGGCCTTAGAAATTGCTTGGCAAACCCCTGTGTCTCCAAATGACACTTGGCCCAAGGTCACGTGGTGAGTTACTGTCTTCACAAGCTGGCTGACCTCCCTCCAAAGAAAATGCATTCATACATGATTCTGATATGTGTTACTGGGAGAGGTACAGTTTGTCATAGCATTATCATATTTAATCAGTAGCAATAACAGACGTGATACAAACCAGAGGATTAATTGATGAATAGTTGGCTTATAATCTATTTTATAATTGGAATATATATTTTAAAAAAAACATAAAAAATAGCGATAAACAGGCTTTAATGACAATGACAAAACCAGCAGGTGTTTATCAGATGTGCAATATTTTCCCCTAGGGCTTGAAACTACTTTCCAATTTAATTTTCCATCCTCATCATCCCCAGATTGACCTTGAACTTCACACTCCAGCTCACCAACTTTGCTAGATGACTATCTGTCATTCTTCCTTCCCTTCTTTTTCCCTTTCTCTCTTCTGGTCACCTATAATCAACAAATATTTATTAAGTGCTATTTATTGTGCCAAATATCTCATCTATAATAATTGATCAACCTTAATGTCCTTTATCATTGCTATAGTTCATCTCTAACCATCCCAACTGATTAAATCCTATGCCTCTTTAAAGGCCATAATCCATTGATCCCTGCTCCCTACATCCCTCTTAATCCCCTTAATCAGGAGTGAGCATGTGATTCCCTTCCTCTTGGGTGCCCCCACACCACACTGGGTAAGTCATAGAACTTGTCTGGGAATTACACTTATACACATGCAACGTGCAACTACTGTGGTCTGAAGGGTGGAGAGTATAGTCTATTCTATTTATTTTATATTTTATCCATTTATCATTTTTTTAAGTCCAGGCTTTACCATTTTTGTGTATTTTTTTTAGCTTTTATCAATTTTTTTCTCTTAGTTTAAATAATGGTATCTTGTGCATGGCAGATGATCTATAAACATTGAAGTGACTATTTCATTTTAAGGCTGGAAAGGACACTAGAGAAGATATTGTCAGACATTCTTATTTTCCAGATGATAAAAATGAGGTTTTGAGAGCTACCTGGTGCCAGTTCAGGGTCTGCTTTCCTTTGAAGGACATGGAACTGTGCTCTAGTATAACCCATGGATAACAGTGACTGACAAAGATATGTGTTCCCCTGAATTTATATTTTGTGAATGGCATTCACTCAGGTTCCTTCTGCAGTGGTAGAAATATCAATCAAAGGGTCCCACTTTCTTTCTGCTGAATCTGAAATATAAGACTGCTTCTAAGTTGTCCACATTTTTTGACCTTAATAAAAACTATATCCTACCAAATAGTAGCAATCCCCAAAGCAATAGAAATACATATAAAACCCAATGATCTCTGGGTTTTTCTTTTTGTTTAAACGAACACGCAAAGGTTTTACAAAGAAAAAAACCTTTAAGCCCCATGAGAGGGAGTCAGTGAGTCATTATCCTTAAAGTATAGATGGACATAAGAGAAACAGAAGTCGTGAGAAATTCCAAAGCCATACACAAGCCTGATTCTTGAGAGGTGCAGAGTGTCAATGTCACTTACTTGACTCTCCATGTACTGCCAGAGATTCAGATTGCAAAGGCCCCTTCCCAGAGCCAGCGAGGTCTAAGGATTAGTGCAATCCATTGAACTCTTCTGCTGTTCTGAGATGCTGGTGCCACTTGGGAGAGGGATGGTGGGATTTGGTGAGTAGATTGGAACTTGGTAGAAGCTATAGTGGAGCTATGTACCTAGAGGCCATTTGTTCATCTAGACACTGTTGGGCCAGAGCTGCCCAAGTCTGGGAGGCAGCCCTGGAGCGCCTTCCTTAGAGGTTTGGCTGGTTGAGGGCCCTAGTGGCCCTGGGAGCTCTGGCAGACTTTGAGCACTCATGGTGGAAATGGCCTCTTTGTGTACTCCTCCAGGACTGTTTCAAAATGCAGTGTGAGCTGATCTTCATTGCACAGGGGATTGGCTGAGGGTGTACTGGTTCCCCGGAGAATGCTCTTGGGTATCAGTTTTGTATGATGAGTTTTTCTAACAGGTGCTGAGCAGGGCAGCGGAGAAAGTGCCCTGTTGAGTGTTGAGGAAGATCTGGTTCTTGTTCCCTCCTCAGTCAGGGAGGGGATGGACTCCTGTAGGAGTGCTTTCCTAGGCCTCGTGCCTGGTCCACTGAGCCATACACTTTCTCTTCCAGTGGTAGAATTTGCCTTCTTATGTTGAACCTCAGAAAGTCACAAATACGCCACAAAGATCAATTTCCTAACATAAGTTTTGTGTTTGTTTTGTTTTTTACTTTTTCAAACCTATTCATATTGCTAGCTTGAATGTTCTTGGGTTTCAGTGAATTCTGAAATCGGATAAAGTAACATGTCCTTTTATTTATCTTATATAGCAGCTCTCTGACTTAATAGTTTTCACATATTTTCTGGCATTTTGAATGTGGAAATGTTCTTATTCATCCTCCCCAAACCTGATGTAATGCTGTGGGACCTCTCTTGTCTTGAATCAACCTGCTAAAAGAGAAACATTGGCTATAGAAGGGAATTTACTGTGACAAAGTGAAGGTGAGGTTCTGCACACTTTATTATACTTCTTTCATGCTTTTCTCTGTCTCTTGAAGGCCATATACTTCTGTGCTTCTCTTCTTGGCAAAAGTTAAGGGGTCAGGGAAGGTTGGGCTCCAAATTCAGTGACAGAATCGTCATTCCTGTAGAAGAGGTGACTACAATGGCAGGTGTGTGGCAGAACTCAGATCTTCAACCCACAGTGCTGGCTTCAGCTTGTAGGGAAGCTCCTAGAATACTTCTTTACCTATTCAGATTCCTGCCACTCAGATCATTTAGATTTTTGAACCAATCAGAGCCTGAACTCTGAAGTTAGACCACTTTTAGCTGTGGGACCATGGGCTGAAATTTATCAATTGATAAGGTAATAATTTATCTACCTCACCAAATGATAGTGAGGATTAAATGAGTTATATGTAAAATTCTTAGCTTGTGCTTGTTTTCTAGTAAGAGCTTGAACAGCTATTACCTAGGCTAAAATATCTGTACTCATGAGAGAGGACACACATTGATTTACTCACCTAAAGAGGTGCAAATAACAAACCTCTGAGACTTTTCTAAGAGTCAATTTGACTGACATAATAGGGCCACTGCTTTTATTAAGAACATACTATGGGCCTTGCTTTTATTAAGAACTTTACCTACATATTTTAATACTAATTTGGGGGCTCTGGGCAGAGGCTATGGCAGAAACAGAGGGCACTGAGGAACATGGTCACAACTCTCTGGTTGTGTCCCCATTCAGCTTCCATAAATCAATAGCAAAACCAGGTCTGGATATGGACTCTTGTTTCTCAAGCAAAATTTGTTTATTTTTTTGCTTTAATTCCGAATTATTGCATTTTCTTGCTTTGGGGACAGTTACCCTGGTGTCCAGTTTTAATCACAGTTTATTCTCAAAGGGACAATAAATTTAGAAGCCCTGCCTCTGCATGTCATGATAGGCATTTCACGATAGGAACCTGGTGAAGAAAGGGCAAACTTCTCTTTGTTGGGGGAATACTCAATGGAGTTTAATTCCTCAGCTTAGAATCTTTTCTATAAAATAACTTCTCTCCAATAACTGATTCTCTTAATTTAGGAATATTAACTAGAGAGAAAAGCATTTAAGAATTTTCAGCAAGGAAAAAAAACAGTTTCTAGTATGTTTCATAACTTTCTAAAATTAGGGAATAAAGCCAGTGAACATGTTGCTGTTGTGAAAGGTCTTTGCAAGTATGTTTTATCCACAAATAATACAGGTGGTTTCTCACAGTTTTTCGTTTCATTTTCCTGACTAAACTCTGTCAAGTATCTTATTTATGACTCCTCCTGAGAAAATCCAGCAGCGCAGACAGAAAGCTTCCTTTTAGGACATCAGTCACTGTTAATTGTTAATTGGGCCATAAGCCCTGGGGAATAAAAGCGATGCCTGCCTCAGCGCTATTCACTCCTATAATTAGCAAGTGATATGTTGTTTCATCTGTGCACAGTACTTGATTTAATAAATTCTTTTTCTTTTTGAGACTCCAATGAGTTTCCAAGCTAGGGGTGATTAAGCAAGTGTGACAAATTAGAAATCCAAATTTCCATTGCCCAGCCTCCTTCAGGAAACTCAGCAAAGGGCGTGGAACCCTTCTGTAGGCTGACCCTGGACAATCATGACTGTGTTCAGGCTCAGTAATACAGATCTCAAGTCAAAATGGGTGGTCTGGAAATCAAGGTATATGAGATGTGTTCTAAGAAATCAGTCTTGAATAGAAAAGTAAAATAACTAACATTTATAGAGTGCTTTAGTAAGGCAATTATATAAAATGATTCACAAAATAAATGCAGTATCACCCTGTCTTAAATGAAAGGATACATGTTTAGAGAGATTAAATAACAGGTTCAATATCTTCCTGCTTCCCGTAAAGACCATGCAGACCAGGTCTGTCTCATTCATAACCTCCTACCTAAACGTTCTTGCTTAGAAGAAATGGAAACTTAATGAGTGACTCAAAGCCACATATAGTTCTCTTTGTTACCTGGGAGCAATCCAGTGGGAAGAAACAGAAGAGCTCTGTCCTACCAAAAGAGAACTTTGTTTTAAAATGGACAGATAATAGAGCAGAAGATGACGTGATTTTGAAAATCTATTTTCACAAACAAAGGATGATCTAAAGAGTACACGATGAGCAGGATTTTGATCAATTGTGTTGTTAAGATTGTTTTTTGAAGACAAGTAAAATGTTTTGTGTCTGATTTTAGATTGAGTTTCTTTTATCAGTTATATGTTGTTTCCAAAGAACTTTGTGGGTCCCAAAGGAGGTCCCCAACGAGACAATCTCCACAGTCCTGGGAAACTCTGAAACGCCACACAATGCTATTTACGTACAATGGAAACATAAACCACCCACCCACCCACCGAAAGGACAGAAGCCAGTAGAAGAATGACTTAGACTACTAAAGCGTGGATACGATACTTAAGGAAGAATTTATATTCTCAGTAAGTACTGTACCATTAATTGAAAACATACTATGGGCCTTGCTTTTATTAAGAACTTTACCTACATATTTTAAAAAATTTAATTCCCATGATACTGCTGTGAAGTAGTTATTAGGGCTACTATCCTCATTTTTGCAGATGGAGAAATTGAGTCTCAGGAGTTTTCACCCAGGACATACGGCTGGTCCACATTTCTATCAAGGATACACACATGGCAAGAGTGATTGTGTGTTTACATCTAGAGTCTTATGACTTCAAAGCCACTTAATTCTACCTGCTAAGCTTTAGTAACAGCCTCATAGATGTAAAGAATCCACTAAGTAATCTGAAAACGTAGATATGCTTTATACCACCTTCCTTTGAATTCTTAAGATCACTAAATCAGATACAGTGAAGCAAGAGCATGAATTAACCTTTAATTGATTTTTAAGAATTTCAACATTTTTATTCCTATTGTATTTTATCTCTGAACTAATAGAACTACAAGTAATAGAGGCTGTTATAAACTTTGAAAATAAGGGGTCACCTAGCACCATGGCACTGGACCCTTTAAGTGGAAGGAAGGCTCCACAGTGTTTCATTAATTTTGTTTCTCTACAGGAATTCTTCAGCATAACTAAGAGCAAGTGAAACTCAGACGCTGGGTTTCAGTAGTGTACTGTTTCACCAGGTGAAGGCGGCCCTTGTTTCCCTGCTCGTCCTGGGCCTGGCTCAGGAGGCAGCCCTGTTATCTAACTATGCCATCTTTAAAAGGGGTTGTATGTGTGGGGGGAGGGGGTATGTCCCCATGGGTATAAATGCAGACGTTAGAAAAAAATTACCAATCAGAAAGAGGAAAGAGGGTAAGTGTTCTGCCCTTGAAAGGGGGGTATTCTTAAGCAAGAGGACAAAAGGACAGGTCCTCCCGCAGGGCACACACCCACGGGAAGTCACACAGAGCGGGGCAGGACAAATCAGCAGTCGTAGAGCTTGGGGTCTAGCTAACAATGGTTGCTGTACACCACCCACACCGCTGGAGCTGAATTTCAAGTTCTGAATGTAGACAATACAGCTGGAATTTCTGCACTTTTACTCCAGAACATATGGAGCTTCAGGCAGCTCTCACTTAAAAATAACCGGACAAATATTGCAAGAGTGAAAATGAATATTTGAGAAGTAAGATACATCTATGGTGACCTGGGGTAAATTCTTCCAAGTATAGTGACAGACAACTAACCAAGCAAGTTTCATGATGCCTTGAGAAGAAAGGATGAATTTGCTGGAGGAAAAATGTACAGTTGTGATTATATTACAACTATATACCCTTCTGGATATTTAGGGTAGACTCAGGACACCTTCAGACACAGGAAGATAATTTTACATTTGATAAATTATCTGTGAGGCTTGGTGTACCTCCCAGTGTCCCATCTAGATCATAAACTCTTTGAATTCCAGATACAAAGAAAACCCTGAGGAAATGTGGCTGCATTAATGGGTCCCTAATAGGCACTAAGATTTAAACATCTTAGAACAGCAGCCAGTCTTCGTTTAGCACTCCAGGATTTATTTTTCCAGGATTTCTGAACTCTTCCCAGGATTACAGTGTGTAAAGTCACCTGGCAGCAGACCCCTTTTCACTGGGCATTACCACCTGTATGGGGGTGACCCAGACAGCCCCAGACCCAGGGGGACAGCCTCCTCCTCCTGCAGAGCAACATAGAAGAATTCGGAGTCAGAGGTTTAATACTAGGCCATCATTTAATGCTTATGTACTGTTGATAAAAACCTCTAGCCTCTCAAGCCAGTTCCATATCAGTAAGTGGAGGGTGATAACATCTACTCTATCCACCTCATAAAGTCCTTGCAACTCTGGAATGAGGTCAAGAGTTTAGCAAACTGAATTATCGAGGCTTGCACTGGTCTTGAGCAAGTAGAAATGTTTGTGGCTACAAAGAACTTGATGAAATGTAACATGCTGGTTAAGAGCTGGCATACAGAAGTAAGGTGGACCTGAATTCCAACTCAGGCAATGTGTCTGACTTCTCCAAGGGGTCAGCAGAATGTTTAAGATACCACAGTGAAGCTGTTTGCATAGTTTTATGGTTAAGGATGTAAGCTCTGGAGTCAGACTGCGTAGACCCTGGGAAAAGGTAATTTTCTATAGTAGAAGTTCTGTAGAGTTCTTTTGTGAGGTAATAACCCCAGTTGATGAGTCAGAGAGCTAATGGTTAAATGTATTTCAGTTACAAATCAGAATCTAGAAAATTGATCACAAATAGATACACAGATCTAGGAGGTAGGTAATTGATCTTTGGACTCTTGACCAAAATCCCACGTAATGCTTTACCCCATAAGCTCTTATTAGGACAAGGGTTCCACTACTGAATTTCAGATTTGCAGAAATGAAAGATACCTCAGAACCCACATGCAGCAAATTCCCTGGATTCTTCTTTCCTTTGGACACAGTTACCAGAAACATATTTATAACTTTGCAAAATATCAGGTAGGAAATTTAAAGTGTGTGGTTTTAGTTTATCACAGGATGGTCAAGAGTATTTGTCCTTCCCTTTATTCAAGGGGCTCTGGGTTTGTAAACTGACTTAAACCTGAGAATTGGTTAATGAGAGAATCAACTGTGGTGGTTTAAGGCAGACATCTGGTCGACAGACCCAGTTTTAGGGTATTTTTAGGGGATTAAGAGGTAAATTATTAGATTTCCTAGCTATTTCAATTCTGGGAACCCAATGATCAATCAGTGATTACTGCCAAAGACCTCTGAAGATCAGACCATTCTCATAACCACACCAACCAATCTGATGATCACAGTAACAGCAACTCTCTTGCTTAGTAGGTACCGCTGCTTGGTCTCTGCCATATCAAGAGTTTATCATGCACTTTGAAACTTGAGAGTCCATCTCGAACACATTATCTACCAGATAGCCTGTGGGAAACAGCCAGTACAGTACTTCTCAAAGATGCTGGTGTTCCCCTCATCGTGGTGAAGAGAAGAACTTCAGAACATTCAAGTAGAGAGTGTCTAATTTTTTGCTCCATCTCCATATTTTTTGCTCCATGCTCTATCCAGTGATGGAACAAAAAATGACAGAGATACATCCACTTTATTCTTTATATCTTAGGATTCCTTAGATTTGGATACATTGCCAATGGATTTTTGACTTCTGAACTCCATTCAGTATAGACCATGATTTCATTCAGATGTCAGCCAGCAGGACAAGCAAATAATGTTCCCAGTTGCTCAAGCAAGTATACTGAATCTATGATTCCCCAGGAAGTATATTTTATCAAAGTCATCTTGATCTAAAAATGTATTTCTCCCCCTCTGTTCTGGAAACCTATGAATTCATTGCCATAAATACTTTCTATGCTTAAGCAATATAAACAAGAAGATATACTGCAATTATTTTACACAGTAACTCTTCTTCTTCCAAGATTGGCCCCCTCTGCCATGCTGGGACATGGGAAGGACCTGTGGTCATAGAGGTGACTTTAATTGCAAAGAAGCTGCCTCAGTGAGTTCATTTTATAGTCCTCAAGCAAGGTGGGGCTTCAAAACGCAGAATGGGAGGAATTGCTTCTTTCGTCTAGGGAGATTCAGTGGAGTTTTTTAGTTTGGGGCATTGTGAATGATTCAGGTAGTCCTTAATGTCCCCACTTAAAGTTTCTGTCTCTTACTCTTTCCCAAGCAATGTCTATGGTCTCACAGAAGAGAATATGTTGAGTTGTGAATTCAAGCAATGTTTTCATTAGACAACTTATTTTGTCGTTAAAAACAAGATAACAGGCCAAAAATAGAGCCTCTTTTGCTATGCCCCACTTCACCAAACTGAGACTTAGTTAATGACAGTTTTGGCCTCTCCCAGAAAAGACATTTTAACCTGGTCAATCAGAGCTCACCTGACCAGCGCTGGTCAGGTGACCTGCCTGTTGCCTGCCTGCCATCCCCTGCGGGGGAACATAGCCTTGCCATAACCAACCCACCTTTTGCTAGTACAGCTTCCTTGCACCTGCTCCTTCTTGCCTACACAAACCTTTCATTCTGTACACCTCCTTGGAGCTCCTTTTTATCTGTTACATTGGATGCTGTCTGATTCATGAATCAATGAATGAAGCAATAAGATCTTTAACATTTATTCAGTTGAAGTTTGCTTTTTTTAAAAAAATTTTTTATTAAGGTATGACTGATATACACTCTTAGGAAGGCTTCACATGACAAAACAATGTGGTTACTACATTCACCCATATTATCAAGTCCCCACCCATACCCCACTGCAGTCACTGTCCATCAGTGTAGTAAGATGCATGAAGTTTACTTTTTAATGCAGCCAAGGAACTTACGCAATTTTTAGCTATATGGGCTCTATAGGTCTATTAATCCAAAACATTCTATTAGGACAATTATAGCAACTTCTCTGGTTCTCTGACTGTGCTGTATTCAGATAATTTAAAAATGTCGAGCCTGACCTTATCCTTCTTAACACTCTCCAGCACAATTAGAAGCAGCAGTCACCAGGATTGTGCTCCTCATGCTCCTAATGGCCCTAAAGCTGCCTTCACTCTGTCCTCCATTTGTCTGCAATGGGCATGCTACTCAAGGTGGGCACTGACGATAATTAAAGAAATTCTAGCCCAGAAATAAACTCATGCATATATGTATCTGCTAGATCTAACTAGGACAAAATCTAAACCATAATTAATATTCAGTGATAGCTACTGAATAAATTAAAAAGTAAAGGAATAAATACCATCCTGCTAGGCTTCTTG